ATATATATATATATATGACCCAGTCAGGTCCAGTTGGCCAGGTTGCTAAATTTACTGCTTTGTCTGTAAACACATTGGTTACCTTGGTTTATCAACCATCTCTACGGCGCAGAATCATTCCTCCTGTTGACCATGCAGGCTAGCACATTTATATGCATCATAATAATTCATCAACTGTATAACTCATCATTTGTGTGGCTAGCACATAATAATTCCTCCTGTTGACAATGCGCACATTTATATGCATAATTCAATAACTGTCTCCTTTTTCTACAATGCCAACCTCCTTTGATTTCCCTTTTCTCCAAGTTGACATCTCTTCGTCCCAGCGATGGCCTCACTCGGCCAGTTGGCCGCCGGTGGCCATGGACCAAGCCGACAGGATGTGGCCCACGATCTCCGGGACGCCTCCCGGCTGATCTCCGGGAGATCGGTGGGGGCTCGTTGTCCGGGAGATCGGTGGCCCCGGGAGAGGACGCCAAGAAAGGAGGTTTTTGGAAAGGGACAATGATTCAATGTGCACGAACACGGTTATTGGAAAGGCACAGTGGGTGGGTTGGAGTTATTTTGTGGGATGATGGAGACGATGATGTGGAGGTCGCCTACCAAAAAAACCACTGAAGGCCTTCTGAGCAGGTTTCTCTCTTGGATACTGGGTTCAAGGGAAGGGTAGGGGGTGTGATCACTCAGCCAGTTGATTGTGTCATGCGATTCTCGTGTGAGGCTAGATATGGGGTCAAAGCACAATACCACAATGCAGAGATGAAGAATCGCTGCAAACCACAAAACCATCGTGGACCCCTTCTGCATGTCGTCCACGACTGAAACCATCGACCGACCGAAAGCCTTCTCCATGCTTCACAGCTGCAAAGACCTGGGCTGCAAAAAAGGAACCAAGCAATCCAGCTACAGCACTTCCAGCACATCATCTACACTGTGGAGTTTCTCAGAGAAAAACATGCCATGGCTTTTATTTGATCCATTAAAGTATGAGCCCAGCCCTCTCACTGGTCTCTCTGCAGTTTCCCTTTCCGGAAAAAGGATAAATACCCATACCCAAGAAGTTCACATGGTATGAATCTAAACTTGGAAGCAACATGAAGTAGATTCCTTTGCTAGTAGGCACAAGTGCATCGCTAGTAGTAACAAGTGCCTTACTGGTAGTAACAATGTTTGCTAGTAATTACAATTCTAATTAAACTTTTTATTGTTACTGTAAGGCACTTGTTCCTACTAGCTCCTTGCTACTACTAGTAAGGCACTTGTTCCTAGTAGCTTCTTGTTACTACTAGTAAGGCACCTGTTACTACTAGTAAGGCACTTGTTTTTAATAGCTTCTTGTTACTACTAGCGATGCACTTGTTCCTAGTAGCTTCTTGTTACTACTAGTAAGGCACCTGTTACTACTAGTAAGGCACTTGTTTTTAATAGCTTCTTGTTACTACTAGCGATGCACTTGTTCCTAGTAGCTTCTTGTTACTACTAGTAAGGCACCTGTTACTACTAGTAAGGCACTTGTTTCTAATACAAAACGCAAACACTTTCCCAAAACGAACCATATCTCACAACTCCCAGGCCGAGAGACGGTGGGCCCGCTGCCCCTCATCCTCGGACAGACCGCGTCGCTTCGTCGAGGATGACCGGTCGCTTCGACGAAGGTGCGGCCGCTCCGACGGAGGGGAAGGTGCAAGTCCGGAGGGATGTTCTGTGCAGGTCTCGAAATTCGAATCAAACGAGAAGTCCCTTTGGAGCAGCGTTCTTCCCGGTGCAGGTCGCAGGATTCCGCGCAGATTCCCGGATTCCGCGCAGTGTCTGTCCCAAACCGTCAACGACCTCCCCCGGTCTGCTTCGGAGAATCTTCTTGGCATCTCGATCCATCACATCTAAGTCTGCGCCAACGGCAGGAGCTAAGTCCACCTTGTTGATGATCCTCGGAATATGGAGCTCAGCCAGGCCGAGGGGTCAAAAGGATTCGGTCACCACTCTGAAAGCCATGACCGCGAACATCTCCTGTAAGATGCTAAGATAAATCATTTGAGTGAAACGGCTTTTACAATATTTTATAGGCGTCGCATACCCATCCTAATTACATTGATTCGAAATTGACAAGTCAACGTCACACAACCTCAGGTCTGCCACTCTCAATATTTTGGCTCTAGGCTGATTGCCTGCGGTTTCATTAGGAACTGCAACCAACCATGCCCAGAACCGTTGTCACAAAGAGCGTGGGCGATCTCTACCTTAAGAATCAACTCCCCTCAAAGCGCTACGAACGGAGCGATCGGATGCTACTAGCAGTTCCTGGCCTTCCTGCTAGGAACAAGAAACTACTAGTAACAAGGGCATTTCTACTAGGAGCAAGGACGCTTCCTGGACGGCATTCAGAGCCAAGGAGCAACAGGTCTGACTGGGTAATACCTCAAGTTGGAGCCGGACGTAGGAGCGAAGGAAGCGAAAGAACTTCAAATAGCAGGACATAGCAGGACCCTAGGATGCAAATCAAACACATTTCTCAATGTTTCTGCTGTAAATCGATCCATCTCTCCAAAAAGCATGGAAGTTCTTGGCTGCTCAAATTTTGGGACCTGCATCCCAGCAAATCCCAGCTCTCTTGTGAGGCTTCATAACCAAGGTTTCTGGGAAAATCTAGGACATTTTTCATCAATCAGATCAACGGGAGTATAGGCCCCAAGCAGGTTTGGGGTTCCGAACGAGTACCGAACAGTTTACCAGTTGGACAAGGTGGTTCCGAGATGTTCTGTTTCGTGCGCACCTGGCGACGAAAGGAAAAGAACCTGAAGCCCGTCAGCTGACCTGGCGATGATCTCGAAATCCACCTCATGTTAGGGGGTGGTCGTGGACCGCATCACATGTGTTTCTTCACATTTCTTCACTATGTCCCAGACACGACCCATGGGACTGCCATGCCATATGCCAATCAGGCCAGGGGTGGTGGTGCCTGAATGGTGGTTATGTAGGCGGCAGTCCAGCCTATGACAGTCCCATCGTCGTGTCTGGGTGTTGCTTTGTCTCACCACGTCTGACCGAACCCGTCCGACCGAGGGGCCCGGGCCGCCCTTGCGGGGGACCTTGTCGCCACCCGCCACGTCGATGACCTGAACACGGCGGGAGTCGAATCAACTCGGTTTCGTGGTTGGGGGCAACCAGGGTGAGAAGCTGATGACGAGAAAGGGCTTTTCTCGTGTCTTTTGTTTCCTTTGTTGGTTGGTTTTTCGTTTATTGGATGGTCTGTTTTTCTTGTTTCTTTCTTTCTTTCTTTGTTGGCTTCTTTCAATTGCTTCAAGGGGGGCAAAAAAGGATCACCGACAAAAACTCTTGTTGTTCATTTTAGATATGGACATGGGCATATAGACGTGCTTTTTGGGCATATAAGATCATATAAAGTATTCAAACATGAGACAAACACATGTCTGTCTGAGGGGGATGCCAAGTTGAACACCCAAACTCACCCTGAATTATGCAAAGAAGGTAAGTTAGTTTGAAACCCTATTGGTTCCAATTACCTGTTACTTGGGCTATCAGCATCACCCTTTTATACAGGTGACAACCAACGGTCCGTTGACATAACAAAAAACAAACACTAACTCTCATTATCCAACGACTCCATGAGAGCTCCTTGACATGTTACATGTTGTAAGACAATATTCTTCAAATAAAAGCTACTTCTGTTACGCTTAGGCGCGTAGATGGTGTAGTCTGCCAATTCTCGGGAGAAGTTGGCCGCCAAGTTGTCGCCGCCACTCTCCTGAGCGTTCCCCAGCAGCAGTTGGGAGCTGCGCTGGGCCGCGCAAAATGCTCCCTCGTGACCCACGAGAAAGCAGAGCCAGTACACTATGATCCATATACAAAAACAACTTGCATGCCTTCCTTTCGTATGGTGGACAAGTCTAGACCTCAGTGTGCACCAAAGTGTCAATGAACGTAACCGCTAGTCGCATTGGGTTTTTACAATATCTGACACGTATATCGGTGGGATACCGATCTGGAAGACCCTGGTTCCACCAGAAAGATTGTTCGTCTCTGCATCAAGGGAAGTGCCTTCTGCACCTCCCCAAGTGCGCTGAAGCAGTCAGCTTTCTGCCAAGCTTCGCAAATGACCAGCTGAACCCCAGCATGCTGCTCGGTCAAGGACTCACAAGCAGCTAGGTTGGAGCTCACATCTTCTCCTCAGTGCTCGTTTTTGAAAAAAGGACACTTCCCAACTGTGTGAACCCCTAAAACATACCAAAAGGCAGTCTTTGGAAGATCAGGAGGAGCTCAGGGGCAACATGATATACCAAGATCTGATCACTGACTTTTCAATGATTTCCTGCCACTGGGCGCACTGCTCCCTGCTACGATGATGTTGCTTGCGACTCGAGCCTGTGAATGCGGTGTAGGGCTCATTAATCCGTCTATGAGACGGTGGATTTGACGAAGTCTTCAACATCTGTTTATATAAATGACTTGAAAGAACCTAATAGCGATGGCCTCCAACCTAATGGCACTAGACTTCTGGAATCTGCCAAGCACACTGCACAATACGAATTGTCCTTGGGGAGGGCATCATCAAGTGATCAATGGGGTGTGCCCGTCGATTTTGAATGCCACGCTTCTAATCAATTCTAACAGTCCACCCTCTTTTCTCTCAACATGTGCCTGCGTGCCCACTCAACCGTGTGCCTAACTAGTCTTCTTCCTTGCATCTTTTGGAATGAACAGCCGCCTCCTCCAACACTGCAGGACCAACCCTGAGATTCCTGGATTCCTGAGATGCTGAGGAAGAGTCGCACCGTTCTTCGTGGTGCCACTGGTGGAATCAGCTCTTCTCAGCACAAGAAGCTATATACTAGGGGCGAACTTCATCGCGACTCGAACCGTTCGCTGCTTCTACGCGACCGCTACGGTCCTCGGGGCTCCAGGGCCTTACGAACGAAACGGAACGATCGGACGCCACACGCTCGCTCCAACTCGACACCGAGCCACGAATGGCGGCGTGGGGGCAGCCACCCGTCTCCACAGCACGGATGCGGTCGCTGGGCAATGCGCCGTTGCCTCGGGTGTTGAAGTGTTATAAGAACGAATGGCGGTGGGTGGGGTGTGAGGGTTGGGTTTGGGTGTAGGTGTCAGGTTGGGGGTTGTTGTGAGTCACACAAGCAACTATGCATTGAGAAAAAGGAAGCAGCAAGCCTGGGAGAATCGCGAGCTCAGCGACCCTCTTGACAGAATTGACATCCGTCGTTGTTTGTAGATTGACTCTCGAACTGTTCTACAAGTAATTACGAGTCATAAATTAGAAAGCTCCAGAAAGCAGGCCGCGTCTGCAAGCTCCCCCCGTTTGAAACACAGGTCGTCGGCAGTTCATTCTGAACGACGACTGCCGGTCATGCGACGTGTGAGGAACTCCGCGTCCTCGCGGGTGAAGATGTCGTTGGTCACCACGCCGATGTTATACCTCTCCGTCGTTGTGGTTTGCTCGCTCAGCGACAGGGATTTCGGGAGGGACCATGGATTTTTGTCATGTTTGGAGGTGGGGAAAATTGAAGGGCAAAGTCCCATGCACGGACTCCTTGATAAATTATTTGAAACCTTGGTTCACCTGCAAGGTGAAGCCGCTAATTAGGGCTCCAGGTGTTGACCCATCTCCCAAATGACTTTTCCATAGCTCTCCCCATTCGTTGCAACACCCATCACTACCACCAGTGATATGTGATATGTTATATGTGTGTTGCAACACCCATCACGTGCCACTGCCCTACCAAAGCGCACTTCTCCCGCAAAGCCATGCAGAGTTTCAACGTCAGGGCGGTCCTCGGCCGAGAGTCACCGGCGTCCGCTCAGCTCCACCGGGCACGGTCCGCCCGGTGAGAAGCCACCGACTGGTTCGGTCTTAGGGTCAGGAAGTCCGGGGCAGGGCCATCCAGTGTCCCTGTGAAACGATCTTCGGGGGTTAATGCATTTGGATTATGTCCCATTACCGGGGCCCAGTTCTTTTTCCATCCACAGACCTGAGTAGAGGGTTTTGTGCAGGTTGTTGTGCATACTGCCATGGCCCAATGATGGTGGCGGTTGCGGGCCTTTCCCAAAAGGAGTGGTAGTCCTTGACCGACTTAGACTACATTCCTATCATCCAATGGCTATCGTCCATGCACAGACTTAGGATCAAGCCAGTCAAACCTAATTCAACTCTTGATAGCTACCTTTCTGTATTCCAATATGTTCAATTGGAATTCCATGGATGATCAGCCATCTCTGACCTGTATCCCTACAAAACCCTACCACGCGCACCGCCCACACGTACCGCCCCACACACTCCGCACTGCTGAGCCGCTTCCCGGAGCCCACCGGCCCTCCGATGCCCACGGTGAAGGCCCGCTCGTGCCAGTCGCGGCGCGCCCAGAGCGGGTGCTCACGCTCCGAGAAGTGACCTGCGGGCGGAAGTTGATGGCTGGCACCGCACTTTGTTAGGCACCCGAGCCTTGAAAACACCATAGTAAACACTTCCCCTAGTAAATCTGATAAAGAGTCATGAGGTTCTGGTGAAAGTGAGACTCTTCAATTGGTGAAAAGATTAGCTTAGGTGACACGGTGCCAATTGTGCTCATCGAATCTTTCTGTGACTTGCTACGTCGCCGAACACATCCACATCTTCTTCTCCTTCGAACAAGTCCGCGACTTGTGTCTTTTCACAGCTGTGGAGCAACTCTGCGAAAAACCCCGGCGACTGTGACCCAAAACCACCAGACCAGGACCATCCATCGTTCGGACGAGATCCACCGTTCGGATCCCGCTCCCAAGCGAGTCAGGACACGCGAAGCGCGCGACGAGCAAACGGTTCTCGGTCCCGCGGCTCGCGGGGTTCCATGCGGCCGCACTGTGCCTGGATGATCCATATTGTCATGGCTGTGACCATGTCCATGTCCTCCGTGTGCCCGGCTCGACGTCCATCCCTGAGGTTGCCGGCAAGAAACGAGGCTTTGGAGGTCGTCTGAAAGCATGGCTCTGGCTAGGTCGTTTGTAAGCCAAGGGCATAGCAATCAATAAACATACATCGTTTAGCTGTATGAAAGCTAAGGTGCAGGGTGCAGGGATGTGTTTTGATAGCTGCTCGGGGTACCACATAACTACCCACAACACATAACTACCAGGACCTCCAAGGTGACCTTGTGAATCCACTTAGCCTTTCTAAAAAGGTCCACTTGAAGACTTCCCTTCGGGTCTCTTCGAGTCTCTTCCAAGGTCCCATCCCAACTCCCAGCTTACCTTTGTTACTAATAGCTTCTTGTTACTACTAGTAAGGCACCTGTTACTA